AGTGGGCCTTAGAAAGCATGGCTAACAATGCCAGTGGAGGTGATGGCATTCCAGTTGAACTATTTAAAATCTTAAAAGATGATGCTGTTAAGGTGCTACATTCAATATGCCTGCAAGTTTGGAAAACTCAACAGTGGGCAGAGGACTGGAAAAGATCAGTATAACATTTCAATCTGAAAGAAGGCCAGTGCCAAAGAGTGCTCCAACTACCAAACAATTGCACTCATTTCACACGCTAGCAAGGTTATGCTCAAAATCCTACAAGGTAGGCTTCAGCAGTAGGCGGACCGAGAACTCCCAGAAGTACAAGCTGGATTTCAAAGGGGCAGAGGAACCAGAGACCAAATTGTTAACATGCCCTGGATTCTTCCTTGACTATATGCAAAAGCCTTTGACCGTGTGGACAATAGCAAACTATGGCAAGTTCTCAAAGAAATGGGAGTGCCTGACCACCTTGTCTATCTCCTGAGAAATCTATATGTGGGACAGGATATGGAACAACTGATTGGTTCAAAATTGGGAAAGGAGTACAACAAGGCTGTATATTGTCTCCCTGCTTATTTAACTTATATGCAGGATACATCATACGAAAGGTTGGACTGGAGGAATCCCAAGCCGGAATTAAGATTGCCGGAAGAAATATCAACAACCTCAGATATGCAGATGATACCACTCTGATGGCAGAAAGTGAGGAGGAATCGAAGAACCTCTTTCTTCTGTGTAGCAAAAAGAGAATTTTACCAGAAATTTAAAACTCTGCAACACTTAACACTGCTACACCTTGTGTCACACTGAAACAAAACTGTTCGTCTTTAAAGAGCAATATTTTGCTGTTGCAGGCGAACATGCTCAGGGAGATGAAAATGCTTCTTTAAATCAGAAGAAAATAATCGACTTCCATTCGGGGCATGTGAACATGGCCACCGGTTTAAATATCATGTGCCTTGAACAGAAACGGATTCAATCTGTCAGTGTGACCACAGCCAACGTTCCCCCTACTAAGGCTGTTATGCCAACAAAGGGCCACCAGGTGCAGCCATGGTCCTTTCGTGGTTGTCCTTCACTAAACAGGCCACTAAACTTGCCACTGTGAAGTTTAGTTTTTCCTATGCAAAGAGTGGGAGATTTTGCAGGACTGAGGAAAGGCCCACAGTAATATCTGAAGCAGGAAACTTTGGTGTTGTATGGGTGGGAATGAAGGTGAGGGACAACTGCAGAAGAAAAGCTGAAAGAGGAAGCTGTGGCTGCCTCATCCCTCGTATACACTGGCTTCGGCTCTCTGGCAGTGCTGATTACCGTATTTTTCCATATATAAGATGTTACTTTTTCCTAAAATCATTACACTAAAATATTAGGGGCATCCAATCATAAGCCTTATGGAATTGATGTCACTTGATGCAGTACAAACCAATTGGAACATACCTCATTGGAGGTGGAGCCTGTAGGCTCAGATTCAACAGGGACTCCTAATGTCTGAGTGTTCTGAGCCCAGAGGCTGAATACTCAATGCTATGTTTTCTTAATATTTGGGTTAGAAAGGGTGAGTTATAAACAGAAAAATATGGTATTTCAACGGAGAAACCTGAACTCTGGAAGGGATGATTTCTTTCTGCTTAGAGGCATCCACAAGTTAAACCTTGATAAATTCTGGGAACTGAGTCGTGTGGGAAAGACACTCTGCACATGTTCAAAAGCACCACTTGCTGTATCATGGTGACACATCTGGAGTGCCTGTTAGGAATGAAACCCGGCTGAAATCCTAACTTTATTAACCCTCATTCAATTCAAGGATGACTTCTACCCCCACCTGGTATCTCTCGGTCTGTGCAGGTGTGTTATTTTTAGCTAGCACAGACTTTGCAGCCGCTTTGAAGACACGGGTGACCAACAGGGCGTATCTGCTCTCCTTGTGGCAGTCACGGAGCATGCCAGCCCCTGGGCCCAGGATATAAGAAGGAGCAGATTTGCATACAGGGTGTGGGGTAATGATCCATGGCCACTTAAGACAGACGAGGGGGATGCCAACAGGAAATACTTCTGTTTTAGGAAGATCACTCCATCGGGCGTCCCCAGAATGGCCTGGGCTCTGATTCTTTCCACCCTCTTGGTCTTTGTTGGTGAGGCAAATTTGTGCCCTAGAAGGGATCAAACATATCTGTAGTCAGGACAGAGACCTTCTATAACCTCTGTGCACATTTGGTGGTGTTCCACTCTAACTCAGGGGAATAATCTCTTTCTGCTGCCTTGATCTCTTTCAGGTCTCAGTGTCCAGCAATTACAGACTTTAAAGGATACAGAATCTGTAGCAGCCGGTGGGACGGTCACTCTGTCTTGCAGATACAGTGGTGGAACTATCGGGGACGGCAATTACCCTTGGTGGGCCCAGAAGAAACCGGGTAGCAAACCCCGGACAATGATTTATACCACAAGCACTCGACCGTCTGACGTCCCAGCCCGTTTCTCTGGGTCCAGGTCAGGGAACGTGATGTCTCTGACCATCACGGGGGCCCAGGGGGAAGACGAAGCCGTTTACTACTGTGTTGTGTGGACTGGAAGCCAGCACACGGTAGCTCATTCAGATGGGGAAGTGCAACAGAAACCCTTTTCTCTTTCCCTTTGCTCTTGTTCTGCCTGGTGAGAAGTTGCACCGTTTCCTTGTTCTGATTGTAACGTAAAAAAGAGGCAGAGAAATGGGATTAGAGGCCAAAGAGATGCTCATAATTGCTGATGCACTGAATCACTTACACTAAATTAAAATGAAACATTTTGTTTGCCTTCTGTGTTGCACTGACAGAGAATTTATTACCTATTAAAAACATGTGAGTACAGTGCAGGAGCTTTTTCTTACCTCCAATAACTTGGAAAGTAGCTTGTTTGTTTTGATTGGTTTTGAAGACATAAAATGTTGGATTCCATATTATTTTTCATCCATGGAAGCCTGTCTGAATCACGTATCTTTAACACTAGCATGTTTTTATTTCTTACTTTTATCTATTCCATTTGTTTCTGCCCTTGGGGCCCCTAGAAATCAAAATCAGATGCTTCTGCTGCACCCGCTTGTTCTTTCAAAGGGAGAGGGTATGGAACTGAAAGCTGGCAGAATTGAAGGGGGAAAAGGACGGGAAATATAGATGAAACATTGTGGCACTTAAATTTTGCCAACATGCTGAGAAAGACTAAAACAGCTACTTCTTTAGAAGCTTGAACTGAAAAGACAGATTCAAGCCAAGAGCTTCAGAAGCTTTGCATGTACACCAAGATGCAAATTATGTTTCTTGCCACAAGAGGGAGCTTTTGTATATCCAATGTTTGAATGGGTCTTCTTGTATTTACCAAATGTTGAATAAGCGGAGGGTCATGTGAAATGGAGCGACCCCCTTTTTCTGCGGCCAGGCTCCAGTGCTTTTAACAGGTGTTTTAAATGCAACCACAGTCTATGTCACTCCACAGGGCTTTTGTTCTTAACTGTCACTCTCTTGCTGACACCTGGAAACGAAGGTCAGGTGATTTCTGATGCATCTGCAGCATCTTCCCAAGGGAGGCCGGTAGTATCTGAAAGGGCATAGAACTCCCTGAAGTTGAAAATGTCACCCACCTTGCTTTTCAGCCAGGAAGCAACTGGGAGTTCAGTTTTACACAACTGCTGTTTGAGTTGGTGTCATGTTTTAAAGATGGTTGAGAATTTTGTTTCCATTTGGTCTTTTGTTTTTTTTAAAAAACAAGAATTTATCTAATTCACTTTCCCCTCACATCTGTGATGAAAATAACTTAAGAATAATTAGAACTGTTCATAGAATTCATTATCCCACTGGAAATAGCTGGTCGTTACGTAGTGTTGGAAAGGGGCCTTGATGTCTTCTGGAAAGATCTGCTGGATGAGTGTCAGGGTGTCCTTTATTGGTACCTTAGTGAACAGGGATACTACGTCAAAGCTCATCAGTCCGTCTCCAGGGCTGAGTTTTAGGTGCTGATCTTGCTTATGAAATGTCCTGAGTCTTTGATGTAGGATGAGGTTTGCCCAATGTGGGTCTGCAGGAGGGTCGCCAGGTGTTTGGCTAATTCATATTGTAAGTGCTATCAGCTCCCCAACATATGAATTAGCCAAATACCTTGTGACCCTCCTACAGACCCACACTGGACAAACCTCATCCTGAAAAAAGACAAAAGCTGTTTCCCACAGCTATAAATACTCAACCATCCAACAAACACCAACAGAGCATGGACATAGTTCCTACTCCAGTCCTCTGAAGATGCTGGCGAAATGTCAGGAAGAACATCCTTCAGAACACGGCCAAAGAGTCCGAAAAACCCACAACAACCATCAGATCCCAGCCATGAAAGCCTTCGTGAATACACAGAGACTCAGGTTGATTGGAAATCCATGCAGAGGGAAGGCACAAGGAGAAAGCCCTCAATCCCCTTTGAGGTGGTTAATCATGCATGGGTATAAGGCCATGGTGGCTGCCTTTGGGGCAGGGGGAGACCCAATGAAGTGCTTCAAGGTTTAAACTTTCAAGCTGAAGGTTTTTGTCTCAGTTCCCCATCAGGTTGTACCACCGTGAAACATGCTAGCAGTGCTAGACCAGGCAGCACAGTAATAAACGGCCTCGTCTCCATCCTCAACGTTGGTGATCGTGAGAGATCCTGAGTTCCCTGAGGTGGAGGCAGTGAAGCGGTCGGGGATCCCTGCTCCTCTGCTGCGGCAGCCATTGCAGTGCACAAAGTGAGGCGGTTGCCCATGTTTCTGTTGAAGCCAGTAAACTCCATCATTCCAGCTGCCACTGCTTTTGGAGCAGGAAAGGGTCGTTGTTCGTCCAGGAGACACCGATTGGGAGGCAGGTTGAGTCACTGTTGGCTGTGAAGTGGCACCTTTCCAAAAAAGAAAGTGAAGAGGTGATATTACAGCTGATCCTATGAGGCTGAATATCAGGACATCATTATGCACCTGTGCTCGGTATACACAAGATACAATTTCCCTTTTGGCCCTTAAACCTGTGTATCGTTCACCGTTCACTTCCTTACCTGCCCAGAAATTGAGGAGGGTAAAGAAAAGCAGAGCCCAAGCCAGGGTGAGGAACCACAAGGACTTCTGGATTTCTGAGGCAACGACCACCTGCCGGGCACTTTCTTCACTTCCTTTATTAAACTGCACCCGTTGAAGTGCGGCCCCTTCATGCAAATGTGCCCTGCCATCACATCTTCACTGTTTCTTTGAGGAAGAATTGACATTATGGGGGAGGGGAATGGGAGGGCCACGATGTCCATGCAGAAGAAAATGCCCGACTACAGTGACATATTCTCTTGGCACAATTTTGTGAGGCTTATTGTAATAGGTTCTGTGTAGGCCCACTTCAATGCCCTGATTTTGAGATTAAAATAAAAACCCCTATAGTGCACGGGGCCAGGCTATCTGAAGGAACCTCTCTCGACCCCACAAGAAATCGGCACAGAGGGCCCGACCCTTGACCTTGGTGCTGCAGTGACTTTTACCAATGGTCGCCAGCTGCAGTGTCTCCTTCGGGTGCAAGGGAGGGTCTTATTCCTTCCTTCCTTCCTTCCTTCCTTGATAACTGGGATATGGACACGATTCATGTGTATCCATCAGAATCTGTGCCTCCAGTCCATGTTTGTGCGCCGCTGCAAAGCTATGTGTTGAAGGATCCCTGATTTCTGTGGCGTAGTCTGGGGGGCACAGATAGAACCAATGATTATATAGTACAGTAGTTTGGGGAGGATCTCTTGTTAAAATCATATGAACTCATGAGGACCTATTTTTTTATGTCACATTTTACTTTCTTTGTCTTGATGGTCTTGTGAATTCCCTTATCTTGGAAACCTCATTGTACAAAAGATTTTTTTAAAAGTAAAAGAGAAAGAGAGGTTGGCAGGGGAAATGTGGTATCTAAGGCCCGGGTCATACGAGATAAATGCCCTTGCTTCTTTCTCGCATCTTCTGCTTCCTGTATAGTTGCACATTGTGGTCCCATGGCATATATATCCTGTGATAGTAGTTCATACATTTTTAAACTGTTCTGCTTTAGGGAGGTGAATTAAAGGCGGTACATTTTTTTTGGTGAATTAGATGCGGTACCCCTCTGGAGAATTAAAAGAGGTTTAAAGCTATAGCAGTTTTGATTCAAATACTAGTGATTTGCAACCTGTGATTTACCTATTGAATATAAATCCTATATTAACTTCCCTGATCTAATAAATGACTTAAGTTTTAAAAGCACACAAGTCTCCATGATTAAATGGTATTAAAGCAGTAATACCTGGTGGCAGTGAAGAAGGAAGAAGAGCGAGAACCTCATGAAGACCTGGGGGGGGGGGATAGTGGCTTCAAAGGAAATTGCCACAGTCCCCTTTCTTTGCTTGTTCATTTCTCTGATCCATTCTCCCCCCCTTTAAAAATTTTTTGTGTAGGTACATCAATGTGTTGGGAAAATGCTCTTGCTGGCCACAAATGGATCTTGGCCTTTTCCTCCTATTTCCGTGCTTCATGACATTCTATGGAGGAGAACCCAGAGACCAGGGCAGTGGAGGTCACGAGACAGTAGAGGGACAGATGCTGTGTTATCTGGCGGACGTATGCCAACACGCCAACAGTTCCATTTGAAAATTATTTTTTAAAAAATAAAGGAGTTGAACAACAGCAGGCGAGGAAGGTGGGACCACATGCCAGATGCAGAGGAAATGAATTGGCTCGATGTCATGACGATACAGCCCAGGGAGACAGAGCTCTGCTCCCCGAGACTGCTTTTCAGCCTGCTAGGGAGCCCCAAGGGGCTTAAGTCACCTCGGAGAGGTGACGAGTGAGAGGGGGAGATACCTGTCGATCACGAAGATAATGGCAATTGTCTTCGTTTGATCCAAGAAACTCCTCAAACTAGTAGGAGAAAAACAAGCTACCTGCTTGCTTGTGGTTTGTCCAAGTCATCGGCTGCTGGAGAAACAAGCTCTAAGTTCCGGATGTTTTACATCGTGTCATCAACCTGGGTGAGACTATTTTTCTTCTCGTTTTACTAATTCTATCAACGCTCCTGGCCAAAATAACTCCTTGAAAGAAAGAAGAATTCTAAGCCGTCCCCTAGCTGGAGAAAGGGAAGCCGCGACAAAAGAAAGGAGCGGTCCACTGCTCTGAAGGGGAGGCTAAGAAGACACAGCAAGTCTATCCTTGGAACATTAATCTGCATTTGTTGGAATCTCTTGGAAAGCAAAAAGGGAAAGTAATGGGTGTTTTTTGAACTTAATACTGTAAATGGAGATCAGGAACTAAAGAAATCATCATTCCAGGCATTAAAGAATGGTGGCAAACTCTGAAACTTTGTTGTGTCTAAATGGTGGAATTGGTGGTGAGCAACAGATATCTCTGGTAATGACCTTGGTTTAGCTAAAACTTTTAAAGCCTGTTTTTTTTTCCCTTTTGGGCCTGTTTTTTTTTTCCCTTTTGGAGCTGCACTTGGATTAATTACAGACAATTAACTCTTGGATTATAAATAATAAACTTGACGGTACTTGATCGAATTGGATTTACAATTAAAGACTCTAGACCATCTGGTCAGACTTGGATATATACGTTGAGAACTGTATGGACTGAATGTCACCCCAGCTAGCTAAGAGTGGAAATAATCTTTGAAACTTTGTTATCTCAAATTGTAAAATTGTAAAGCTAATAGTTTGCTTATATAGAGCTGTGATGATAAGGTACTATTGATGATCATTGAGGATAAGGTATTGCTGATATATTGGCTATAATTGCATTACTAAAAGGTGGAAAAGGCAGTGTAGTAGGTCAACAGAACTTTGGGGGGGGGGCTGATTGGATATTTTGGGAAAAGTACTCATAATGAGCCTACCAAATCTTTCTTAAACTGCCAAAAAACAGCCTCTGCACCTTCATCTGCGGCTCTCAGTCCAGTAAAGCAAATATCTATTGATACAATTGTATTTCAAGAAAAATTTCAGAAAGATCTACAAGCAACACTCCAGAAGATTCAAGATACAGTGGTATCACAAAAAGAGGAGATGAAGAAAAATCAAGAAGAAACCATGAAGAAGCCAAGCTTAATCAACAGAAACTGGAAGAGAAAATGGATAAAATCAATGAACAGATCGGCATGATGAATACGCAACTCCAAGATATTCAGCAAAATACTATAAAGAACCAACAAAGAATTGAAAAATTGGAAAATAACGCAGAACAAACAGAGGAGAGATGGGATGAACTGAAAAGAGAAAACCACGAACTTGTCCAGGCTAATTAAAATCTACAAGATTCAATTGCAGTGATGGAGATGGAAAGAGCCTCAAACATTCTTAGATTCCAAAACATACTGATGGCAACCATTTTGGCAGAGGCACTGGGAATTGAAAAAGAAGAGTTGGAAAATGAGATAGACCAAACATATAGACTAAATTCAAGTTATGTAAGAAAGAATAGAATACCACGTGAAGTACATGTAAAGTTTGTGAAAAGATCAACAAGAGATGAAGTACTGCGAAGGACCAGTGAAGAACCAATACAATACCGACAAAAGGAAATTGTGGTATTGAAACAGATACCTTGGAGAATAAAGAGAGGGGAGGAAACAATATCAATTTTTGACCACCAAACTGATTAGAAAAAGAGTGAATTTTAGATGGCTGGTACCTGAAGGAATCCTGGTCAACTGGAACTCAAGAAGACATAGACTTGACTCTATCCAAAAAGCAAGAGAATTCCTTGAAAGACATATAACCTTCTTCGAAGAAGAAGCACAGGGACAAGATATAAATGAAG